GCCCTCCTCTTTCCCCTTCTTAACCGGCAGCGGGAGTCGGGGAGAAAAAGCGGCCTCAATCCCTGGCTCCGCCCACCTGGTAGTTACCTATGGTGTCTTCAGAAAACATTTGAAAAACAACAGGTAAAGTTTTGAAGCTGTTTTGTTATGATAACTGCTGTTTAACGCCGCAGTACGCGTTCCGAATGTTATCACAAGAATGCTGAGTTGTGGGCAAAAGTCGTGCCCCAGGCGGGAGTCGAACCCGCACCTCACGCTTTCCGGGCGATATCCGTTACGCCACCAGGGCCGCTTTTACCCTCTCAGCTTAACGGCTTATGCCGTAACCTTACAGCACTCACACGTTTAACTTGGTGAGCCGGTCAGCCGTAATCGTTAGATATCGGCATGGAACCGCAAGGCCGAAGGCTTTACAAGTTTTTGAAGACACCCGCCTGGGGCACGACTTTACTCAGCATTCTTGTGATAACATTCGGAACGCGTACTGCGGCGTTAAACAGCAGTTATCATAACAAAACAGCTTCAAAAACTTGTAAAGCCTTCGGCCTTGCGGTTCCATGCCGATATCTAACGATTACGGCTGACCGGCTCACCAAGTTAAACGTGTGAGTGCTGTAAGGTTACGGCATAAGCCGTTAAGCTGATGGTGAGAGGTAAAAGCGGCCCTGGTGGCGTAACGGATAGCGCACTCGCGTAAGGTGCGGGTTCGACTCCCGCATCGGGCACGACTTTTGCCCATAACTCAGCATTCTTGTAATAGGTACAGTCTAATTCGCTGCGGATAATGGGCGTGCACGAGGCCGCGTTTGGCACACCTCCAAACCTATTCTCCACAAGCTGTCTAAACAGGTATGTCACAACAACTGGTGAAAAACGATCGATACGAGCGAGTTGATGCAGTACTGTCGTTTTTGAGAAGATAAGGAACAGGCTGGCTTCGTGGACACGCCCCATCTCTGCAGCGAACAGGACTATAACGCTGTGTTCATACCTTGCGTCTGCGCATGCCAGCGTACGGCAATGGTTTGAGCGTGCGCTAGCCCCAGCGGCTAACAAAGTATACGTATCGATCTAACATATGCCAGTGCTCTCGCGGCAGTTCTGCTCAAGCCTAAATTGTCCCCGAAAACGTTGGCGTACGCTCGAAACGCTGTCGAACGCTGGAGTGAGCGACGAGAGTATGAACGCAGCTGGGAATTCCAACTCGATCGCACATTGTGCTGTATTTGAGGGGTATTCAGTGGTTTAAACGGTGCTCCTTAGATCGTGTATCTTCCTTTGTCTAATCAGAAAATTAATCTCCATGAGCGAGAGAGGGATCTCTGACTTTTGCTTAGCATTACATTTACTGTTCTGCGATCTTCTTTGGGACGCCCACGATAGTACAGTCCTAATTTTTAAGCACGCGGAATTCTCATGCCAAAACTGGATCACAATTTACGAAGGAGCTCACCAAACGAGAACAAGAATTCAATCGACGATTTGAAAAGAGTTTTGATTTAACAGGCAAGGTACGTCTACTTTTACTAAATCCTTTTTCAGGGATATGCATTTCCTAAGTTAGTGCCAACGCACTATTTGATAATACATTCTTCCTTTTGTAGTATGTGGTATGGAGAACAGTTATCCACAAGGTTTTTTCTGCCCAAAAGACACTTTAGAAACTTCTGAAGACCTTTCAGGCATCTGTTTTACTAAACATTTCCCATATGTTTGGCGTATCTGCTTGAATTCTTCCAGTCTGCCTATCCATTTGTTCTGCCACCGAAACATGGACTGATGGTATGAATCGAACTCAGGTTTATGGGAAGTTCTCTCTGAGAGAGTCTGGAAATGGGGGGAGCTTGTCGGAAATGAATGGGGAGTGTGCAATCTCAACTCCGTGAGGCTCAAGCCGTGGGAGTACCGTGGAGCAGTTCTGTTCCGAAGAACACCAGTTCATCATATGGAGCTGTCGAAGCCCGAGATTTCACAATTTGCGAGGCACGCATTGAAGTCTCGATGGATCGTGTCAAGTTACAATTTTCACCCCTAGAGGCAAATCGATGACTATACATGCAACCCATATTACGGTGATGGAGGGGGCATGGCTGCATTTTCACGTGGCGATGCTTTTGTGGAGGATGTATTTCCATTTGGGGCGACTATCATCGTGTCTTGTGCCAGGCGAAGGCAATGTTACTGTGGTCGCGTATTGCTATATCCCACCAAAAGGGCAGGCGCAGTATCCCGGAAATGGGAAGGGCGTTCTTATGAGGAACGCTGTAGTATGTGATGGTATCCAGCTGTGAGGCAAACCATTTTCTTATTTGGAACGACTAGAATCAAACGGCTAACGAATACAGCGAGCTCATGGAAAATCACAGCTGTCGTTGAAGTTTTCGGTCTCCAATTTTCTAATGTGATGAAGCACTTTCTATGATCGCGGTTACTCACTGAAATGCAGTTGGCACGATGATTTGGTGCTCGGCCTAAAATGCTAGTAGGGCGCTGTATAGTGGGGAAATGGCGAAAGAACGGAGTGAAAACTCAAAATCCTGCGAAGAAAGAGCCTCCGTTCTCAATGTGTTAGAAATCAATTTTGGACGAGTTTCCTGTAGGCATCTTGCCAATAACCGCTAAAGGTACGGCTGCATATGTGTACCCATATATCCATGCAGCATCACGGCCGCTTCATACCAATCCCTTCGCTTCATAATTTGCTTAGCAAATGAATCGATTAGAGCGTCAGGAACGGTCGTCCATTTGTGGGCGGGCGTTTGGGTCGTAATGTTGTGGCTTGATAGGGCCCTTATAAGGGCACCTCCCTTGGAAAAGGCATTATGCAGCCTGCTCAGGGTCGCGGAATTCCGTCCTGCCAGGCGTATTAATCCTACTCGTCTTGGGGATTTATCGTGCCAACTGCCTTTAAGAGCTACAAGAGAATGTATTTTCAGGATTACTCTAACATTGAACTTCAAATGGCCAAGGTAGCGCTCTCAAATATGCTCGGAGGTATTGGTTATTGGCATGGATACAACAAAGTTAGTTCCTTCGTTCGATTACACCGACTTGGCATTTTTCCCTTTCGTTTTAGGTCCACTTTGGTGGAGATGCCATTGTACCTTATGGACCACACGAGTTGTTCTCAGCGGTTCCTTCTCGTTCGTATTTCCCACGTGGATTCCTATGGGATGAAGGTTTTCACAATATGTTGATTCGCAAATTCGATCCCGATTTGAGCATTGAGGTGACTTTCATGTCTTCACATTGAGTTGAGGTGACTCTCGGATCTTAGACTTCTCATTCAGGTCCTTGTGTCATGGCTGAACACAATGAGCGAAGATGGGTGGATACCGCGAGAAATGATCTTAGGAGTTGAAGCGGAGGCAAAGGCATGCGGTTTTCACTAAATTGAATGTTTATGACGACAGCTACCTTTCCTAGTACTCATTCGAAAAATATCCTTCAGACAATTAGAAGTAGAAAAAAACAAAATTTTGGAAAAGGAAGACCTTTTTAAGCACAGATGATCCATTTCGCTTGTCCCTTAGACGGATCATCACTGTGACGCCAACCCCCAAGACGTCAGTAAGGAAGGTCGACGAAACAAAGACACGGACTACATAGAGGAAGGAGTTGAGAAAAGGATAAAATAAGAGAAGTTTTAAGACAGGTGCACATGCACAACTGATGATGCAACAAGGATGAGAACAAGAATTTGAGTGTCAAGGGACGGGAAATTTCGAGGCTCACAGGAGCCTCGAAGGAACACGCATTCGCGATCTAAATGTGGCGCTGTACTTAATTGGGTACGCTGAGGTCGTGTTTTGCAATAGTACGATATCATTTATGGAGTGCACTGCTTTGTCAGGGCTCTGAAATTTTTGCTTGCAAAGCAGTTGATCGTTTTTAGTCATTATAGTTGAATTCAGATTCTCGTAGGTCCTTTTATTTATCCCTTTCTAACTAATAGATGGGACTTTTATGTAGAAATAGGTCGGCCAATTGCTCGCTCATTGAATCCTCCTGGGTTACTGAATCTTTTTTCAATCGTGGGAGAACTGAGAATTTAGAGCGATATTCCCTTGTCTCTCGCTATTCAGCACTTCTTTCAGGTTCCTCCGGAATTCATCGTGCAAAGGACCAACGTTGCAAATCCACCCAGCATTTTCTACGTTGTCGATCAAATGCTGAGCGATGAAAAGGTACTCTATGATGTCCGCTTTTTCATAATGTCATTGCAGCCACGCTCAGTTTCCGATGAGCGACTCTCGAAACATTTTCAATTATTTTACTGTTAAGTTGCTTGCGAAGTACAGAGACGTTTGGGCTGGTATATATCCAAGATTAGTGGCATGGTATCGATGGCTGCTTAGGAGTCAAGCTGGCAAAAAGGAGGGGACATTCCGGTAACAATACCGCTACATTTCTTCTTTGTTGATTTTTACTTCTGCAAGCTTTATGCAAGCACCTGATCGTGAAGGTGTGAAAGAGCTCTTAGCGATGATAGGTGTCTGTGGCTGCTAACTAGACGCAATTGATTCCTAAGGAACAGCATATCTTTTGGAAAGGGAAGGGAGGGGCAACAATGGGTCAACGGTGTGCTGTGGTTTGTGGTCAGCAAGCGTGTCTTTACACCAAGCAAAACTTCTGTCTTGTGGTTGCCTTCTTGTGACTTTTTGATCATATTTGTACATCTTCATATCCCGGATATGGAGATAGCGTGACCGCATACTTCATTCAGAAAAGGCGATTGCTGCGTTTTCATTAGAATGTTTTCGTTTTAGGGAACTTGTTATTGTAACATTATCCAGCACACCATAAGATTGAAGGAAATATCCTGCTATATATAATCCGCTATGTGTGTCTGTGTGTGTGTCCACGAAATATCATAGCGAGCGTGCGGAGAAAAGCAGTGAGATGACAGTTCCAAGAAAGTGATAGTAGCCATGGCCAGACAAGGAAACCTTTTAGGTGTAGTGCAGGAGGTGATCATCTGATAAAGATACGATAGGGCGCCGTAGAAGGGGAGGGTGACTGGAAGTTGTGAGGCGCCAAGTTGGCAAGGCAGCTTGGGCGGGACGGCTGATTTCAAGGAGTGATATACATGGCAGGACGGGAACACTTTTGCGGGTGACAGGAGGTGATGACACTTGATAAGATTCGATAAGGGGCCTTAGAAGGGGAGAGGTGACCGAATTCGTGGCAAGTTGCAGCAACGGCGGGACATGATTTCAAGTACTGAATATGCCGTAGGGTGGGGCTCGCAGAAGCTGATAAAGCACTGATAAGATTTCGATAAGCGGGACTTTGGAATGCGGAGAGGGTCACCAAATTCCTAATATCGGGCCTTGGAGAAGTATGTCGAGAGCCCCGGCAGCCATGGTTTCCGATATAGTTTACAGGAGGGACGGGTGGGTGACAGAATCTAATAACATATTATAAGATTTGATAAGGGACCTCAGATGCGGAGAGTCACCAAATTCGTAAGGCGGGTTTGCAAGGGTCTGTGGCACCTTGATTCAAAAGTGTTGGGGGAGGCGGACAGCGGGTGACACGAAGAAGACTGATAAGCAGTGAAAGACCATCTTGCGGAAATCCGCAACACCGCTTACAACCACAGTGCGATTGATATGATAGTAGGTATCAGGCTCTCAGTAGTTCGCACACAACTCACTCCTAGGCTTTATGCGTTGTCTGACCACTCAATGTAGCGGGCCGCTAAGCAACTGGAGTTCAGATGCATACGAGGTGTGTTTACGTCCAGATTGCCCATGAACCCAGCAACTACAGTTTTTCACTAATGACTATGACAGTCTTCCGAGGCAACAACCGCGAGAGAGGACAGATATCGAAAGCGCTAGACCTGCGAATGCGGCAGGGCAATTCGCAGATAAAAAAAAGACGCCTAAAAGTGGTGGAGAACGGTGGGATGCTTCAAAGGCTGTTCTTACAAGATTCTCAGAAGATTTCGGTACTCCCGGGAAAAGAATGGACAAAGGTGTCTGTGAGTGGGTCTTTGTGTGTGTGTGTGTCACGAAATTCATAACTCCTGTTCCACTAGCAGTGAGGCTTTGGTTCCAGAAGGTAATGGAGGGGGTGTGACGAGAAAAGCATTGGTGGAGGTTGATAGGAGGGTGTATCCAGCTGATAAGAATCTTGATAAGCGGGTGTCCAGGGATGTTCACAAGCTCTATAGTGGCGGTTTACAATAAAGTGGATGTTGTTCGGAGGAAGGATATGGCGGGTGGGGCAGGCAACGTTATTGGGGTGGGTGTGCAGGATTGAATATCCAATAGAAATAAAATCCGATAAATGGGGGTCAGAAGATGGGCAGTTGGCCGAATCATAGTGCTGGCTCCACAGGAACACCCCGCGTTGATTCTGAGTTCAACAGTATCGGAATATGAGGGATGGGGGGGGCGTGAACACCATTGGTGGGGGACAGGATGTGATATCAACTGATAAGATCCGATAATGGGCGTCAGAAGTGGAGGGAGACCGAGCTCATTGTGTGGGTCACAGAAATAGGGAGGACGAAGGAATTATTGGTGGGGGACCTTATGTGTGCATATACAGTGAAGGTCCCGATAGGGGGCGATTATAAAGGGAGGAACCCATCAATTCACAGTGTGGTTCGCAGCAACAGCGGGACGTTGCTTCCAAAATCCTGTTTGGGGGCGAAAAATTATTGTCCTGTGAAAAGAAGGTGAAAAACAAACCTGTGAATCTCGTAATAACAAATGGCATTGTATTGAGTACAACAAAAGGTGCTATAAACCAGTACAGTATTGCGTGCCACACAACTTACGCCTAAATACAGCTCTAGCCCTAGATGGATTGTTCTGTCGTCCTTCTCGAAACGCAAGAGAGCGGACGTCGACTTGCTCGTGCTATCTGAGTTTCAATGAATGATGATATTCCCACCGTTAGAGAGTAGTCGGCTTGAGTGAAGAAAGTATCAAATATCAGATCGGGAGATGAAACGAAGTTCTCCGACCAGGCCCGCCTACGTACTTGGAAATTGAGGAAAAATGATGAATGCTCATTCTTCTTCCAGTTGATAAGGCGTAGGGTGTCGTGGGCTTAAAGGCACGTTCCGCGATAAACTAGAGCTAGGTTCTCATAACCGTGCCCGACGGTCAAGCAGGCAACGTCAGAGGCTATGCTGCTTTTAAAAGTTGAAAAACAGCAAGCAAAACGCAGCGCGCTCAGGTTTTAGGCCCATTGGCGCCCGATAGGCCCATGCCGGCCTCCAGTGACCGTGTCGTTGTGAGATTGCCATTGCGCTCTCTCGCTCGTCGTTTTCTGGCCTCTCTCGTCTCTTATCAGTGTCTCGCCGCCTTTTGCCATCCACAATCGATCTTGACCACCTTACGCTCGTCCGGTGATCATGATCAATTGAAATAAAGAGGGTCTTATTGCGGGCGCTTTTTCGTGGTTCCTTCCCTTCAATAAGTCAACAACCACAGGGCAATTCTATTTTTGAACTGTATTACCTATGAAGTGTGGTCGCGGGAAGTGCCTTTAATTCAGTGTCAGTGATCTTCGTAGTCCCTCGCGCCATGGTCGCGTAACTTTTACATTAGCAGTTGATGAAGGTCATGGTCTTTAGAAATTGGTGCAGCCTTCTCACGGCTGAAAGTCTTTAGTAAGCATAAGTAACCAAATGTGGTAGATAGTGACTAATGTTAAGCTTTTTCAACTCAATTTTCTGGAGTTTAATAAAAAATGACTGCCCCCGTTTGGCACATTTAGCGCATTCTAAATCTCCAAGGGAAAGGTGCCTGGCGAAGCCAGGCCACCTCGGCGAAGCCGAGCTACAGAGAAGGAGCACGGCGTCAGCCGGGCGATCCGACTGGTTTCACTTGAAGGCAGTTGGCACGATACATCCCCGAGACGAGTAGGATTAATACGCCTGGCAGGACGGAATTCCGCGACCCTGAGCAGGCGCTGCATAATGCCTTTTCCAAGGAAGGTGCCCTTATAAGGGCCCTATCAAGCCACAACATTACGACCCAAACGCCCGCCCGCCCACAAATGGACGACCGTTCCTGACGCTCTAATCGATTCATTTGCTAAGCAAATTATGAAGCGAAGGGATTGGTATGAAGCGGCCGTGATGCTGCATGGATATATGGGTACACATATGCAGCCGTACCTTCGGTAGCGGTTATTGGCAAGATGCCTACGGGAAACTCGTCCAAAATTGATTTTGAACACATTGAGAACGGAGGCTCTTTCTTCGCAGGATTTTGTTTTACTCGTTCTTTCGCCATTTCCCAACTATCAGCGCTTTACTAGCATTTTTGGCCGAGCATCAAATCATCGTGCCAACTGCCTTTAAGGCGCATCCTGCGCTATGACCAAGTAAGGTACGCAGCGACGGCCTCTCCATCTCCGGAGTATGATGTACCAGCCGGATCACCAGGCTGCCGCCGGGTGCCTCTTCTTCAGAGTCACGGCTCGGCGAAGCCGGACCGTTCCGGATTCCCGTAGGTGTTCACAAGATGTGCCATGCAATCATGGAGCATTTTTAGCTAAAATGTAAAAAATTAGTTGAAAATAGCTCGGCACCAGTCATCATCAATGCATATCTGGCCCCTCGCGCTAGATACTGAATTTCACTTGTGACACGCCTGCATCATATCATTAATGACTGCAGCTGTTATATCAGAATGGGTTAAAGTTTAATCCCCGCTCGACATCATTACTTGTATCTAACAGCACACACATACTTCAATTGATGGTTTTGATTTTAAAAGCTATCACAAGAATGCTGAGTTATGGGCAAAAGTCGGACCACGGGCGGGATTCGAACCCGCATCTTCCGCTTTCCGTGCGAATGCGTTCCCTATTACGCTACCGAGGCCACCTTTGACCACTCAGCTCAATGGCTATTTGTGCCATAACCTTACAGCACTCACACGTTCAACGTGATGAGCCGGTTAGCCGATATCGGCAGTGAACCGCAAGGCTGAAGGCTTTTTACAAGTTTCAAGCTGATATTGTTTGTTAACTGCTGTTTAACGCCGCAGTACGCGATTCGAAAGCTATCACAAGAATGCTGAGTTATGGGCAAAAGTCGGACCACGGGCGGGATTCGAACCCGCATCTTCCGCTTTCCGTGCGAATGCGTTCCCTATTACGTTCAACCGAGGCCACCTTTGACCACTCAGCTCAATGGCTATTTGTGCCATAACCTTACAGCACTCTCACATTCAACGTGATGATAACAAATAATATCAGCTTGAAACTTGTAAAAAGCCTTCAGCCTTGCGGTCCCCTGCCGATATCGGCTAACCGGCTCATCACGTTGAACG